ATTTAAAAAAATATATTTGTAAGACTTCTGGTTAAAGACAAGAGATTTATAACTGGAATTCCCCTCTTTATTCTGAGATCCCACTAAATTAATAAAAGAAGTAACAGCTGCAAGAGGGAGATGGGAGATTTCAATGAAGTTTTAGAAGACAGAGAAGAGATACATGGTAGCTTAGTAGGATGAAGAAGGCTACAACCTCAAGTGCCTGAATGAGGGAATGCATGAGATGGAGGCTGGTATCTTTCCAGGACCCGAGAAGCTCAGAACCTTGAAGAATCCCAGGCCCAGGGGCGGACAAGGCTGAAGGACAGGGCTGACACTAACGAATCAGTTGGACCCTGTCCCCGTCCCATACAGGAGTGGACTATCCAGCCAGGATAATAAAATGGGAGAAAAATGTAACTTTGGAAACCCAAGTAAAATGGTGGAGAAGGCAGGCAAAGGTATAAAGCGAGAATGATTGAGTCAAAGTCTGCCTAAGAAACGGCTTGACATCCCCTTCTCTCATCCTCACCACAGCCTGGCTGGAAGTCTCAGGCAAGAGACCAGAAGACCCTTCTTTGGGAAAACTGAATCATCCAAGAAAAAAAGGTGCGTACATATTCACATTTGGAGGTTTCCAAACGAAACAATGAGTATATCATACCACTCTACAACTGCCCTTACGTCAACAAAGCAAGCCCTACCCATGCACACAGGGTCTTCAAATAGCTTTTTACTGCCTTACTCTTACATGTGATTCTGCAAAGGAACCAACATTTGAAAAGAAAAAAGGCACTCGATATGAAACAGACCCAACCAAAATGAAAAGCTAACTTAGAATAAGACAGCGCTAGAGCCATTTTCTTAAAATTGTTGTCTCCTCAGGATAGCCCCTCACCCAGTCCATTTCCTGAAGTTGTTTTTTGCCTCGGAACTTCTTTGAAAAGAATCAGCCACCAGCTAGCCAGAATCGGCTGAAACAGGTCCCGCCCTCCATCTTGGCACTCCAGATGACCTTTCGCTCATTAATTGCCTCATGCATGATAACTTCTTCGCCCCTGGGTGGAGAGCTAACATGCTAATACATAAAAATGGGTAACTTCCTCCTGCGTTGGGAATCAAACCCAGGCCTTAGAAAATACTTACTCATTCTAAAATGCTCCACACCTGCACAGGCCATTTTATATTCTGAAACTGATCTTAGCCATATAAACCAGCCTCAACAAGCTGCCTGTGAGGCAGTCTTGGATGACATGCAGCCCTGACTGTCTCCTTGCTTAGCCAACCAATAAAGCTTGCTTTTTGTTTCCCTAACTCGGTCTCTGTCTTATTTCGCCCCTGGATGGGGTCACAATGAGCAGAACCCAGAGTTCCTGGCAACAAGAAGACATAAATTAAAACTAAAGAAAGCTTCAGTGTTACACAAATCCAAATTTTAAGTGAAATTAAATCTGGTCCATAGCATTTCACCCTACCAGAGACACAGAAGGTGACTTATGACAGTTTAAAAGTCGACCTGCTAATGGCAGAAAGGCGTGGGAGTGACACCATACTTCTGAAACCTCTGACTTCCTGCTTTGAGGTAACACCCAAATGACTGGATCAGCAGGGTATATATACTTGCAGCTGCAGCAAAGTTAGGTAAAACGAAAACAAACCTTTAAAAAGCTTAACAGCTTGTAAGAGTGAAATATCTAAATAAATTACTTTTAGCCAACCATGTCATTAAGTTGCCATTATTTGTTACTTACATCTTGAAACATTTTGTTTTCCTGCTTTAGTCTAGCTTCTTTATCATCTGAGAGTTTGTAAGCATTCTCAAATGCTTCTTCTAAATGCTGCAGTCTAGATTTTAGCCGAATGATGGTATTGTCTTTTTCTTTATTACTTGTTCTCATTTCCTCAATCCGTTCCTGCAAAATTTTGGAGGCACTGCTGGCAGCACTGAAGCGTTCTTTTAAATCATTCTACAAAACAAAAACAAGGATAATAAATTATTTTTAATGGGGAAAAAAGATATTTCAGTAATAACTAACGAATTATGGGCATTAAAATATAAAAAAAAATACAAATGGAAGATCAACAAATTTAATATGTTGTTATATCCGGGGGCAGAGAGTCTAGAAGGGAATACTGCATTAGATTAATAGCTCCATAAAATTATCATACAGTATACCCGTTGCCATTGAGCCGATTCCGACTCATAGAAGCCCTAATAGGACAGAGTAGAACTGTGCTGCCCCATAGGGTTTCCAAGGAGTGATTGGTGGATTCCAACTGCCAACCTTCTGGTTAGCAGCCATAGCTCTTAACCCCTGCAACACCAGGGCTCCATTATACGTTATAGACAGAAAGTAATGTCTGAGGCACTATGATTCTAGGAATCACAGAAGACAGTTGCTACTATAGATAATTTTAATGAGGAAAAAAATAACCATGGCTATTAGAGAAATGATTCTGAAATTACAGCTGGAACTTGCTGCCCAACGTTATTATTTAGGAAAAAACAAATTACCATATTCTTTCACTTACTATGAAAATAAAATTAAAAATGCATCTGATAATATTGATATTCATTCCACAATCATTTCTTGAATACCCACCAGATGCCAAGCACTGGATAGCTGGAATCATAAGATTAACAAGAAAGACAATAGTCCCTGACCGCATGAATCTTACACTTTAGAAGGGGACAAGGATAACTGAAAGGCAGCAAAGACAAGAAGATAATATACAGAATGAAACAGGCATTTTCCAACAAAACCTTGTTTATAATGTTATATGTAGAAGAATAAAACTTGGTAACACATGAAAACAGTGATTTATTTAAAAGTTTATTCACTCCTAGCTACATACCCCCCAACACTGAAAACATGTCCACACAAAATCTGAACATGCACGAACATTCATAGCAGCATTATTCATAACGGCCGAAAAGTGTCAACAACCCAAATGCCCATCAGCTGATGAATGGAGACACAGAACATGGTCGATTCGTACAGCAGAACAGTTATGACCCAGCCATAAAAAGGAATGAAACGCTGCTGATGCTACAACATGGAGGAACCTCAAAAACATGACACGGAGTGGAAAAAGCCAGACACAGAAGGACAGACCTTGTGACTCTACTTGTGTGCGATGTTCAGAACAGGCAAATCCGTAGAGACAGAAAGAAGATTAATGGTTGCCAGGGGCAGGGGGAAGGGAGGAATGGGGAGTGACCGCTTAATGGGCACAGGGTTTCTTTTAAGGGTGATGAAAATGCTCTGAAATTAGATAGTGGTGATGGTTGCACTACTCTGTGAATATACTGAAAAACCACTGAACTATACACTTTAAAGGGGTAAAATTTTATGATACACAAATTATGTCTCAGTTAAAAAAGAGTAAAACTATATCATGTGACAACAGCAGCACGCAGAATATGAACTTACTCAGCAATAAGACATCCTAAAGAAGAAACCCATAACCAATGTTATCATAAAACTATTTGTCTCTGAAGTTCAGTTAACAAAAAAGCTTTTTAACACGAAGCCACTAGAGCAACGACAAAAGAGTACTTACCACTTCTGTCTCCAGTAAGTTATTCTTATTTTCCAGTGTTCTCACGCGACTAGTAGCTTCATTCAGAGCACTGTCTAACTGGCCACATCTAAAAACCATAAATCAAAACTAAACAATTAAAGGATAAAAGTCTTTCCCTTAAAAGTATTATATAAATCTGATTCTCCAATATAGAACATATAATAAATTCTCTACTGTTCGCTAAGATTCAGGATGCCATTTTATATAAAATATATCCCAGTGAACTCATACCATACAATCCAGAGAAAATAACAGGTTTCAAAACAATCATGAAAAGATCCTCAAGAAATAGGAAAAAATTAGAAGATATACATAAATTAGCTTGACCTTAGTTATGAAAAAAATCAATATATATGCATATATCCTTATATATGCATAAATATCTTTAGAAAGACGCAAAAAATTAACCTGGGATATGAGACTAGAGGTCAAGGTAGAACCCTTCTGTATTATTTCAAATTTAGCATGAATGTATTATTCTTATAATGAAAGACTTTCTTTGTAAAGTTAATTATCATAGAACCTCAATATAACAAAATAGAAGAATTCAGTTAACATTTTGACTCAATGTTTAATGATGTATTGTGAATGATAAAGGCTAACATTTATTTGGGACTGATTGTACACCAGCTCTATGTTAAGCAATTTACACTTATCCTCACCGTCCTGTGAGTAAGGATTGTTATTACTCCCATTTTACAGATGAGAAAACAGAGCCAGAGAAGATAAATTACTCGATGAAGGTCACAGAGGTTGTACAAAGTCACGCTGGAATTCTGGCTCCAGAGTTCAGGCTACTAACCATTATGCATCAATGCTTCTTGGAGATTAAGTACTGATGAAATTAAATACTAATAAAATTGTTCTTGAAAGAAAGCTCGCTTAAATAGTCAAGTCTCCGTGTGTTAACTGTGTTACTGTTTTCACTGCCTGATATGCCAGACATCACGTTCTCCGAGTGGCAACTGTGTAACGTAACAACCTGATATCACAGCTGGCCTACCACGTAAGTGTCCTTGGCCCCATTACAGTACCGATGGGATTCCTCACTTTGCAATTTTAAGTTTGGGAAAAAACAAAACAAAACAGGTGCGTATGCTGATGGCACAACACTGGCTTCAGTCTTAGGTCAAAGGTTTCTCCAGTTCTAGACGATTGCTAGTTTCCATGTTGTTCCTACCGTCCTCTGTAACACATAGTTGTATACTGTAAGCCAGGTCAAATCCTTTTGGGGAAGGAGGAGAAAGTAAATAATGTATTGCTATTGGTTTGCATGCCCTTATTACACTTACTCTAATATCCTACCTTGCTGTTATTAACAACCATTACAACATGTCCATTTTTAAAAGCCTGACTTCCCATTTGCTCCACCTACATCCTGTCCCTATACTATCTGCGCTAGCAGGTTTGAGATAGAAAAAGGCTTGAACTAGCTATCGTTTCCTGGCTGCCTTCTTTGGGCCAGTGCTTCATTAGGTATCGTATACTTCCTGCCTTCAACCTGACAATGACAGAGTCCACTGGTAGGCTCCTCTCATGCTTCTGGTTTCCAACTGAAAGCACCTGTGCTCATCTTTGCCTTCTTAAAACAAACAAGAACTAACTTCCCCTAGCCTGCCATCTCCCTTTTCCTGGCTTTTTTTCTGGCTCTTTTCAAATTATTTCTCCCTGTCATCCCATGCTCCTGCCTACCACCAAGGGCAAAATGGAAGCTGCAGGAACACTCAGGAACAAGGCAGCTGTGCTAACTCCACAGCAACCAAACGCTATTTAGCATAAAGGCTAGTTTTCTTTAATTCTGAAAGTTAAATTACTAACTAGACCAGATTTCAGTTCCCTCCTAATCTCTTTTAAAAGCACTTTGTTTTTTTGTTTTGTTTTGGCCTTAGACAAAGAATCTCTGGTATCATGGAGACCTGCAGCAGCTTTTAATCTGCTCAGGTGCCACTTAAGTGTAAAGCATGGTACAAGTACTTTGCTACTAACACTAGCTAAAAGGTCGAACTGTGTAAATAGTTCTCTCTAAAACAGGTGTAAAGCCATTACTAACATGAGGCCTTCCCGGCCCTGTGTGTCTCCAGGGCCTTCTGAGCGGGCTATTTACCTCCAGGGGTTCACGCAGCCTGGCTCAGGAGAAGATGCGCCATTTCTAAAGGTCACGTGTGGGCATACAAAAAAGGCTGATACCTGCCGTAGGACATTAGTCCCAGACTTCATCAGGGAGTCCCCAGAGCTAATCCTTCCATAAATGACATAACGCTACATATACAAAATCTGCTCAACTCTTTCAGCGTTTTGCCCATATGAAACAAACGGCCACATGTCAGTGACTGATGCATTATATGTGGCTGGTTCAGATAATCACTTAGGCAAACATGATTCTGTGTTAAAATGTTCAAATCCCAAGTGTATGTTTTCAAAGTGTCTTAACATCACAGTGCGCTGCACTTTTGGGGAGATCACGTATCCAAGCTGGAGGAACACCAACTTCCCAGTTAGGTTTTAAATTATACCTGTCTGCAAGAATTCGATTGGTTTTCTTCCACTCTTCAACGGCGGAAATTTCTTCTGCCTCCAGTTTCTGTTGCAAACTATTTATTTCTGATTCATAATAGGCCCGAAGGTCCGCTATATGTCGAGCGTGCTTTTCTTTCAGGTTCTGCCTAACCCTGTCAGCAAGAGGAAAAAGACATCTGAGGGAAGTACGCCCTGTCTCTCAATCCCGTAGAGAAACCAAGAACGTAATCGTTCTATAAAAGCAAAAATTCAGCCACGTTTCCCTTGCACACCCACAGAAAACGTAATAGATTAATACGTAGAAAGTTGACAGCAGTTGTTATAAAAAAGACACACTACTTATTTTTTAAATGTTCTATCTTAAGGATGCTGTATCTCCTTTGTTAAATTTAAGATTGTGTACATTACTAAAGTTCAATATAAATCATTTTCTTCATTCAAGCAGACACAATAGAAAATCTATTAACATTACAAGCTATTCACCGAAATACATACTTAGACAATATCACAGGATCTTCCAAGGAAGTCAATGAAATGCATTCTGGGACACTGTTGGCTGTACCTGGAAGCTGGGACTGACTGACTGAGGCTGGAGTTACCATGACAGTGTTTTCTTCATCGATGGTGTTGACTGAGATATTGTTGCTACTGACGGTATACACTGAAGGAAACGTGGAACTGCTCCTACTTTCATTTTGGAATGCGTGATTTTTCCAACAGTCCACTGGGGAAGTTTTCGTATTTGAAGGGTAATTTGGGAATCCAGATAACTGAGAAGCGATATTACTTGCTTGTGAAAATGAGTCTATGTCAGAGTGACTAGACATACTAGGTTCTAGAACAGACTCTGGTGAAAAGGAAATTCTGTCATCAAGTATATTCACAAAGTCATGTGGCTGAATCCCTGAAATCTGCTGATTTGGCTTCCTGTGTAACGTTGGATCGAGAGTCAGTACCTAAAAATAAGACGGACAACAATGAGATTTCCTCCTCGTAGTTGGCGTTTGTTTTGTTTGTTTTTAAGCAAGTTGGCTTTAGATCTCTGAGGCAAAAAAGCCTTAAGATAAAAGTCAGAATCATTAATCTTTCATTTTCACTCAGCAGGATGTTGACAACTTTACCTCAGGTGGATGATTTGGAGTGGAAGCAAAAGTGAGATTCCTCTCAGGTAACTGCTTGTTTTCCCTTTGTTTTTTATGATAAATATCCTTCAGTGATGGTAGCTTCATCTCATTACTAGTATTAGACTTAAAGATATGAAACAAAATTATTATTTAAATGGTATTACCAGCTATGAAAAAAATTTACTGATACCAAGACTAGCACCATAAAAAGATCGTGAGAGATTTCTAATAAAATTTGAGAATCTAGTCTGTCAGATTTATAATCTAAGCTTAGAAGTCATTATCTATTATTATGAATCTCCAGCAATGTTCATATCCCCTAACAATGAATATTAAGGGGATAATCTGAAACTAAGTTATTTATTTAGTAGCCTATGAGCACTTTCAAAGTATAAAATCTCTGGTAGTCCTCACTCAAAATAAGAACCAAGTTTTGAGGGAAGAAAAGGCTTCATAATGAATGACTGAAGCAGAATGAGGAAAGTTCTGGCAGGATTAATTTCCTGTGACTCAGAGGGACAGGTATCAGGAGATGGAGCGCCTCATCTATGTAGTTATATTCATGAGGTCTTTGAAAGAGTTGACAGACAAAACGAAGTGTTAAGAAAAAAGTTCCTTAATGAAAATAAGCCCCTAATTTAACTAGTAAAATAAGATAATGACTCCACCTCCTTTCCAAAGCTTGAAATCAGGGCTTTCCTAGGATAGAAATGTAGCAAAGAGATTAAGTATTAAATGTCTAGGCTCCAAAGATTACACCACCAGGCTTAGATTACTTACAGGTGGGATTTATCATAGGGCATGACCATGGGTACCATTTAACCCTGGGCTGCAAATTGAAACTGTGAACATTTTCTCAAATGAGATTATAAATTAAACCTGAGACACTGAAAAAAGACATTTATCACAGTTTTATACTCACAATTTTATGCCTCATTTCCAGACCCTACATAGGCTGAAGAGCACCATGAATTAATATTTTTTAATAAATCCTATAATTAACTTGTGAATAGGACAATTAATTGTATTTTGTGTGTGTGTGTGTGGTAAAAGCACTCATTTATTAAATGTAAAGACTTAAAATTGACCACAATTTCCGTAATCCTGTTTCAGAATTTTACTTTTTAATATACCAAGAACCAAAAGTCCCTTTACAAGCCTTGAAGCTTGTGCCAAGAAGCAGTATTCTCACCCTGGCCTACAGCCTGAGGAACCCTTGCCTCCTTGCCTGTTGGCCTGGGTGAACAGCTGGAGTTATTCTATTGAGAATTCATGGCACCATTTTTCCACCACTTTTATGATGTCCTTTTCTTTTTATATCTTGACATCTTTGAAGTAAGGGTGCATCTTGTAATTAACAGCTCTTACAATCACTTTCGGCCAAGTGGCAGCTATGCCGTATTGTCATTGCCTGCTCAAAAGCAAATATTGAAGCCATCAAAATTGGCCAAACAGGCATTAGCAGCTTGGAAGACAATCCCAGAGACTACAGTGGAACCCGCGAGAACCAAAAATTTAAGGGAAGGGTGGATCAGACATGATGAGCAACATTCCCCATCTGGGAGTCAAAAGCAGACTAGTTCTACACAATTACAAGGCCAGTTAAGAGCTCAGCACCAAGGCCTCCCGTTCTTGCATGGACTGTTTAAAGGAATGCCAAATCACCAATGCTCTTGGTGGCAACAAACAAAGACGGTATGTGGAAAAACAAGGAACCAACACAGAGTTGAAAGGAGAGAAGTGTGAACCTCTGTATCTGAAGACGTTTCAACCAATTTATTTCCCTTGGGTTTTCCTTTTTAAGCATGTATGGGAGTGATATGATAAAAATTCATGCTTAATTAAGTCTAAAGCCTCTTTCTACAAGCATAAAAAAAAATATATTCCAAGTGATAAGACAGCTCTAACTGGCAAGATTTTATTTTCCTGGTAGAATATCAAATGAGGAATCTTAAAAATTGACCGCATCACCAAGGCCTCCACCGGACTGAGTCCAGTACAGCTAGATGGTGCCCGGCTACCACCACTGACTGCTCTGACCAGGATCACAACAGAGGGTTCTGGACAGAGCTGGAGAAGGATGTAGAGCATAATTCTAACTCACAAAAAAAAGACCAGCTTTACTGGCCTAAAGGAGACTGGAGAAACCCCGAGAGTATGGCCCCCAGACTCCCTTTTAGCTCAGTGGTGAAGTTACCTCCGAGGTTCACGGTTCAGCCTGGAAGTGGACAGCCCCGTAAAACCAAATGAGACTAACGAGGTACAGGAGTCCAGTGACAAGGGCCAGAAAGCAGAAGGGGACAAGGAAGCTGGTGATAGGGAACCCAAGGTTGAGTAAGGATATTGTTGATGTGTTGTGAGATTGTTAACCATTGTCATAGGGCAACATTTGTAGTAACTGTTAAACGAGAAACTATTTTGTTCTGTAAACCTTCATCTTAAGTGAGAATAACAGCACAATTTGAAGAGCATAGTGAATGTCACTGAACTGTACATGTAGACATTTTTGAAATGGTGTATCTTTGGCTATGTGTATTTTCACCAAAAAAAAAAAAAAAAAAGAAGAGGTTGAGAAGTTAGAGGGTTGATATGTTGTGGGGTTGTTAACCAATGTTATAAAACAACATGTGTACTTCTGTTTCATGAGAAACTATTTGTTCTGTAAGCCTTCACCTGAAGTACAATAAAAAAAAAAAAGAAAATTGACGGCATCTTAGATTCAGCAAAATACAACAGTATTTATTTACTGATGTTCAAAATCAAGTAACAAATATTGTGAGCCCTGTAATTACATAGCTTTCCAAATCTTCTTCTCGTCCCGTTACAATCTCACTTCCCCCCTACTTCCTGTCTCTTCTTATTTATCTGTCCTTTTATTCCTTTGCTGAAGTATGGAATGCTGGCTTCCATCACTATCTGGGACTGTTTACAATGCCTTGGTTGTCCCCAATGCCCCATCTCCCTGTACACATCCCTCTCTTTTACATTCTCTTGGTTATTTTAATTGTATCTCTCTGTTGTGGACTGAACTGTATTCCCTTAAAAAGATATGCTGAAGTCCTAACCCCCAGTACCTGTGACTGTGGCATCATTTGGAAACAGGGTCTTTGCAGATGTAACCAAGTTAAGATGACATCATATTGGATTAGGGTGGGCCACAGTGACTGGTGTCTTTATAAAAAAAAAAAAGGAAGAATTTGGACCCAGAGACAGAGGGAAGACGGCCACGTGAAGATGAAGGCAGAGACTGGAATTATGCTGCCACAAGGCATGGGATACCAAGGACTGCAGACAGCCACCAGAAGCTGGACAGGATAAGGAAGGAATCTTTCCTAGAACCTTCCGAGAAAGTGTGGCCTTGCCAACACCTGGATTTCAGACTCCAGAACTGTGAGAAAATAAACTGCTGTTGTTCTCAGTCACCTGATCTGAGATACCTTGTTACAGCAACTCTAGGAAACTAGTATACTCTCCTTCTCTCCAATCTTACTCCTTACATTACTCGATCATAACTCAGAAGTCAAATATATACATCCACATACACATGCTGAATAGTTTTATTTCTTTACTCTAAAAAGAACAAAATATTTTACACTTATATTGTCCATAAATAAGTCAGTGGGGAAGGTAATAGGATGGCAAATCCATGCGGGGTCTGAAAAAGGGGAAGCAGGGAAGAGCTGAGGATCTCCTATAGACAAAACAGTGGGCACGAAACCATCTCATTTAATCCTCACAAATCACCACCCAGGTGCTTTTAATTCCATTTGTAAGTAACTTTCCTGAGATCATATAACTAGTAAATGACAGAGAATTTGAAACAAGGGGAATATGATTCTAAAGCCCATGCTTTTTCTAATACATGAGAAGCTGAAAAACACAAAATTTATAATGGGATGGAGTACCTAACTACATCTGTAAAACACAAGTATACACACACACACAGGTAATCCGTTTTTAAATCACCTGGCTTGGTGACATATCCGTGGAGGAGGACGGCACAAGCGTCTTCTCTAAAGCCTCGGGCAAAGAGTGATACATGTCCTTCTCCTCTAGCTTCCAGTAAGTTAGTCCTAACACACAAACACCCAGAACAGGAAAGGGTGAGGACAGAAAACAAAAATGCTTTCTAGATTAACTTATCTATTTGAATAAAACAAACATGAGAAATAACTCGGTTTTGGCTATTTGATTACAGCAAGTTGAACTGTGATGAGAAACAATTCTTACAAATACCTTACTGTTTAAGACTCCTAACTTAATGACTCAAATATTTAAAACAAATTTTATTAAAAGTCAAGATAAAGTAGTGTCATTTAAAATAGATAAAAATGTCTTATGAATAGTATGCGCTGATAAAGAATCAACAGACAGAATTCAATAATTCAAGTATTTATTGAGCATCTGCTGTGCCAGGCGAGGGGGGTTATCAGAGTATAAGTAAATCATGGAGTACCTACACCATGTTAGAAGGTTGCAAGCACTGTAACAGTGAAAGAAAAAAGGAGATGTACGCTGTGGGGAGGGCAGTGGGGGGCCCTCTTTGAATAGGGGTGCCAGGGTTGGCTGTGAGAGGGTCTTAGCCATTTCAGCCATCTGTGGGGGAGCCCCCACATAGAGGGAAGAGCATTCCAACCAAAGGGAACAGGCAATGCAAAAGCCTAAACCAAGAACCTGTCTGGCATATCTGAGCCTCCCGGCTGAAGCAGAGGGAGAGAGTTGTAGAAAGTGAGGTCAAAGAGGTCACGGGCTAGATCCTGCTGGGTCCTGGAAGGCCTCTGGCTATTCTTCCAAGGCCACAGAGAAGACCGCAGGGTTTCAGCACAGGAGCCGCAGGATCTGACTTCTCTGACAAAAGCTACTATGGCTACTCTGCTGAGGAGACTGCAGGACACGGGGGAACAGGGGGCTGGTTAGGAACTTGTGTGGCCCAGGTGACGGAGAGGATGCTGGCCCTATTAAGGTGGGGGCAGTGGAGGTGGTGAGAAGTGGTTGGATTCTGTAAAGAGGTGGAAGGCAAAGCCTTCTTTACATCCTGAAGAGTTGGATGTGGGGTGTGGGAGTCAGTGTGTAAAACCATTAAGACTGGAATGCTGGTCTCCAGGGACATTTAGCTCAACTGGTACAACATAGTTTATAAAGAAATGTTCTACATTCTACTTTGATGAGTAGCATCTGGGGTCTTAAAAACTTGTGAGCAGTCATCTAAGATTCTTCACTGGTCTCACCCCATCTGGAGCAAGGGAGAATGAAGAAAACCAAAGACACAAGGGAATGATTAGTCCAAAGGACTAATGGACCACAACTACCGCAGCCTCCACCAGACTGAGTCCAGTACAACTAGATGGTGCCCGGCTACCACCACTTACTGCTCTGACAGAGATCACAATAAAGGGTCCTGGACAGAGGTGGAGAAAAACGTAGAACAAAATTTTAATACAACACAATACATACACACACACACACACACACACACACACACACACGCACAACCAGACTTACTGGTCTGATAAAGGCAGGAGAAACCCTGAGATTATGCTCCCCGGACACCCTTATAGCTCAGTAAGGAAGTCACTCCTGGTGTTCATCTTTCAGCTAAAGATTAGATAGGCCCATAACACAAAACGAGACTAAATGGGCACAGCAGCCCAGGAGCAAGGATGAGAAGGCAGGAGGGGACAGAAAAGCTAGTAATGGGGAACTCCAGGTCAAGAAGGGGAGAGTGTTGACATGTCATGGGTGTGGCAACCAATGTCACAAAACAATATGTGTATTAATTGTTTAATGAGACACTAATTTGCTCTGTAAACCTTCATCTAAAGTACAACAAAAAAAACATTTAAAAAAAAAAAAAAAGACTGGAACGAGATCACCCTGAAGTATAGACAGAGAACGGTTCCCAGAGGGTCTGAATTTGCTAATTCCCTTTGGAGCGCCTCATAGTGCTGAGATGATTTTTTTTTTTTTTTTTAAATAATTCCAAAAGTACTTCCTTCTGCCTTTTCAGAACTTGTAACATAAAACTAAGACAAGGAAGTTACCTCTACCAGAAGAACAATGCATAACATATTTACAGAAACTGCTCTCATACACTATATCTGATTATCATCTGATAATGACAAATGCAAACAAATTGTTGGAAAAAAAAATCTAAGTAGTATACCTGTTCCTGAATCAGATATCCACGAATCTGGACTTTCATCTGGTTTACTGAGGTAAAAAGCATGAGATTGTGTAGCAGCTGTGAAATCAGGCTACAAGAAAGAAAAACATTAGTTGACAGCTAAAAGTCATCAGGCACAAACTGCCGACCAGAGGAACCTTCAGAAGGTCTGTGGAGGACGAGGCCCGGCTTTCTCCGTGGTTACACAAATGGAAAATAATAGAAATTCATGGTGAAGGGTTTTCTTGCCCTGTGTGATTTACAAAAGTTTATTTTGGTTCTCTGCAGGGCTGGAAGGAGAAAACCAGGGGCAGGTGTATTTAATGAGTTCAGAACTAAAGTTTATAATTTACCATCTCTTCCCAAAAGAAGTTTGAGATGCCTATAATTAAAGTCATTTAGTATAAAAATGAATGTAAATATCATTAACATATAACCACATTACATACATCATTAGCATACATCTCCAATAAATCAAATTAACTCCAAAAACTGCAAATCAATAATTAATATGAAGTTTATATATACAAATAATTGGTTCCTATGAGTTGGAATCAAGTCGACAGCAATGGGAGAACCAGAAAAGACACAAGCTGCTAACTTATCTTAATTCTAATAAAATTGTCTGAGTGAAGCTCTCCCCACAGTATCTCTGGCACTGCCATGAGAAATCTGTTTCCAAACAGGGATATTGGACAAGGCTACTTCTAGCAGAATTTTTCTCATCAGTTCCATCACCCTCAAACTTTTCCTTTCTGTTAAAAGTATTTAAATTGACCAGACTTACTGGACCAGTTGAGACTGGAGGACTCCCTGAGACTACTGCCCTGAGATACTCTTTAAATCTTGAACCAAAACTAGCCCCTGAGGTCACCTTTTAGCTAAATAACAGATTGGTTCACAAAATAAAGAATATCACCCGTGAGTACTGTGCCCCTTTAAAAAATCATCTATATGAGACCAAACAGTCAACAATTACTTTAAAACAAAGATGAGAATGTAAGGGGGCAGGGAAACTAGATTAATGGAAACAGAACAACCAGAATGGAAAATAGAAAATGTTCACATATTGTGAAGAATGTAACCAATGTAACTGAATAATTTGTGTAAAACTGTTGAATGGGAAACCAAACTACTGTGTCAACATTCACCAAAAAAAAAAAGAAAATATTATTAGGGAAAAAAAAAAGTTGTATTTGCTTAAAACTCATCCATGGTAGTAAAAGTACATTGGAATAATAAATAATAAAAATCTACTGCCAAGAAGAGGAATTATCACCTCAGCCTTATAAGGCACCACTTAGCTTCATTTTTATCAGTAAGAAATTCCTCAGTCATCTTTTGTCTCTTCCAAAACCCCTGCTCAAATTCCGTCAAGTTCCAGTACTGAAAAGACCAGGAAAGGGTAACTGGAGAAGACCAAGTCAAATAATGCCCAGTAAGAGACTGTGTCCTCTCCCAGATTCTGAGGTGAAAAATCGGGTGCGCTCAGCTGACACGAACGGTGGATGAGGAGGGCGCTTACCTGACAGAGCTGCGTGCTGCACTCTTCTGAGCAAACGAGGCAGCCCCTGAACAGGTCCAGCTTTTACTGAGAAATGAAAGTACAGTGCGGTGAAAAGCCCTTCTGAAACGTAACCCCTCTTAGCTAAAGAAGCTGGCCTCAGACTAACACAAGGACCTTAATTAGTTTCAGCAACGGTCTGTTAGCCCATCTGAAAAACAACCACAAAGCCCTTCAGCTGGTGAAACGGTAAATTCAAGACAGCCGGACACAAAGAACCAAGGAAACAAAGAAAAGACTTGAGCTTTGGGAAATCTTTAGGCTAAACAATATACAATTTCAAATAGCTATTGCCCAAAATAAACTACCATTGTACAAAAAGAAAATTGGATCAGAACAGAATCCTGATAACTAGGATGGCCCGATTTATAGTGAAAACTGGACAAAATGGGAGATGAGATTAACAGGAAAATGCCAACTTTTGTGAAGCCATAAAATGTGGTTTGGAATTATGCAGGGGAGAGATGCATTTCAGGTTGTGGTGTGTTTAATTCACCAACCACCATCACCTCAAAATCAAAATCAAAGCTCAGAAATATCAAAGAAATTTGATTTCCCCTAATGAGTTAATACCAAATACATCATTCACCTCAAAGGGGGGAAAAAAAAAAGAGGAAGAAGGGGGAATGAGACCTGCCAGGAGATGATCCAAGAAAACAAAAGGATAGACTTGGAGAGACTCGTTCCCCCTCACAGCTTCCACCCTCTGCCCTTGGGGATACCACAGAGGCAGAAGACTACTAAGTAGGCCTCCCACAAGGGCATCTCTCGGGAACTGCACCTGATCATTTGCAGCGACCCTGATTCTCCACTGAATTGGAGAGAAAAGTTAGGCTATACCAGTGGTTCCCAAACTTTTCTTGTTGTTGTTGCCGTCCAGACAAGTCCAACTCATGGGAACCCTAAGTGTGCAGAGCAGAACTGTGCTCCATAGGGTTCTCAAGGACGTGACCTTTTGGAAGCAGATCGCCAGGCCTGTTTTCTGAGGCATCTCTGGGTAGACTTGAACCACCAACCTTTCAGCTGACAGCCGATGCTTAATCATTTGGGCCACCCAGGGACTCCTTCCCAAACTTTACTGCACCTGTGGAGCTTTTAAGACTCCTAGCACAATGGGTCACACCTCTTTCAGAAGGAGTCAAAACTTCTGGGGTTGGCACCCAGGCATCAGTATGTGTTTAAAAACTCTCAGGTGACCCTAATGTGCAGCAAAGTTTGGGAACTACAGGGCTCTGTCAAACCTATGTTGAGTTACATTCACAAAAGACAACAAGAAAATAAGTGAATCTATTGAGTTACATAACCAGAAACTCAAAATTTATCAGAAGAGGAAAAATCTCCACAAAATGAAATTTCAGGGAACGTAACAGCAGAAGAAAAGAAACTACTATTGATGAAAGCATTCTCCCTTGATGCCAATCTATTCCAATGAAAACAGTAGTTTTTATCCCAGTCTCCTTTAAGCTATCATACCAAACAAGGATATGCCACCCTGGAATCCTTGATGGCATACAGGTTCCAAAGAGTAGAACCACCCACACAGCACCAACAGGCTTTGCTAGGCCACAGAGGTTTCGAGTTCATGTAGCTTTCTTCAACTTCACATCCCACCTCCTCAACATAATCTGAAAAAGTTCGAAGAACGGTTAGACTGACCCATTGCCAGCGAGTCAATTCCAACTCATAGCGACCCAGTACGACAGAGCAGAACAGCCCCCATGGGGTTTCCAAGGCTGTAATCTTTACAGAAGCAGACTGCCATATCTTTCTCCCACAGAGTGGCTGGTGGGTTCAAACTGTTAATCTTTTGGTTGGCAGCCGAGTGCTTTAACCACTGCGCCACCAGGGCTCCTTATGGTGAGATTAGGAAGACTAAATAGCCATGGGCTGAAGACAGAAAAATTACTGAAAGAAAAGAGAAATAAATAGCACCTTAGGAAGGCTGAGGGACTATGTTCTTACAATCTTGATTCTCTAATAGATCTTTTTCATAGAATGACAGAACGGCTGTGTTTAAGATGACCACAACATGGCCAATTTCTAAAGGTATCAGGTTTGCAGAAAGACCTAATCTTGCAATTTCAGTGTATTACAGTAAACAATTCTATCCTCTGGCAAGTCAGGCCCACAAAGGCTTTAAAGGTGTATTAAAACTTACCCCATATCTCTAATTCTTTAACAAAACAAAACTGCCGAGTTAGCAACAGGGTCACGTAGAATTTAACCATTTAATCTCTTATATTTAGATTATAAATTCAGAGCTGTCCAAATTTCAACATTTTAAAAATAAAGCATCTTACTTAAAGTACTCAACAAATATACTACTACTTCTTATAACTTAATAGTAATAGATATCATTTGAGGCATTCTTTTTTTTTTTTAACAATTAAATTAATTACTCTCTGGCTAAATGTAAACACCTGCAGTACAAAGAGAAATAAGATCTTTACAAAATGGTTGATTTTTTAGAGTACTGTATGCTCACTCATTTTGTTTTTCTGGCCTACTAAAGAACCAACACCCCAACGCAGTTGAGTCAATTCCAACTCATATCAACCCTATATGACAGAGTAGAATTGCCCCATAGGGTTTCCTAGGCCGTAATGTTTATGGGAACAGATCACCAGGTCTTTTCTCCCGTAGAGTGGAGGAGCAGCTGATGGGTTCAAACTGCTGACCTTTCGGTTAAGAGCCGAGCACTGAATGGAACAAATTAACAGTACAGAAGAAAGGGCTAAAAAACAGGTATGTTGGTGAATGCGTATAAACTCAACATGATGATCACAGCCAAAGCATACCGAGAGAAGTGATTCATCACTTACTTTCTCGCTTAGCGACTTCTTTGCTTGCTCACTTCCTTGCATAGATTTTGAACGTCCCTCTTCTATGTGTGCTCTCTTTGGTTGGTTCTGCTTCAGCTTTTGCGCCCATGATGTTATAGATTTACTATTAAAAGGAAAAAACCAGAATTACTTTATGTCCTTCACACATAATGCTAAGTATCAGCGGATGCTGTGTCAGTGGAAAATGCTTTGAGTTGTTTTTCTAATAGTGAAGAGATGGGTTTTTATTGAGTTACCAAAATTTCCTTTCTCAAGTTCCTCTAGGCAAAGTAAAAAGACTACCAGTGGTCAATAATATACATAACTTGTAGCCATGGAATAGAACAAAAATCACCATATTGGCCCCTTCTCTATAGGACTAAACCTAAATCTACAGTGAAAACCTGTTTCTTGGCAACAACTAATAATTATACGTGAGGACACAAGATTTGTGTTGCTATAGAGAAATACCTTACTTTACAAGATGTATTTCAGCAATATGAAATTGAAAAATTAGGGTAAACCACATAATTTAAAAAAAAAATTTACTGTTTACAAACATTCAGCCACTGACTCCTTTACTAAAACGTATCCTGAGTCAAACAAAATGTCACTGAACTTATAAAAACTCTCCTTATGGTAACTCTTATACACAAAAAAATAAATTAAATTGAATATGCTTGTATACAATTTTTGGTTTCAAATTATATGAACATGTGTGATGAAATTCCACTATGAATACAGTCCTGAACTTTGACTTTTGGCACGTTTATGGTGACTAGAAAACAGGAAAGGTATTTTTCTGGCATGGTCTCCCACCTTAAGAGCTTAGCAGTCTTATAACAAGTGGAAAAAGTCAAATGGCATTTGTATGTGGTGTGCTTTGCTTATTTCAATTTTTCAAAGGCAGTAAGTAAATAAAAGGCTTCAATTTTAATGGTAAAACTGATAAATGTTCAAATACGTCTCACTACATTATAGTCCCAATAAACCCATTGCCACTGAGTCAATTCCGACTCATAGCGACCCTATAGGACAGAGTACAACTGCCCCATAGGGTTTCCAAGGAGCGGCTGGGGGATTCGAACTGCTGATCTTTTTGGTTAGCAGCCGAGCTCTTAACCACTGAGCCATCACTAAAAGGAGCTTTAATTTACTAGATTCTAAATTTAACAAACAGGTAAAATTCCTTTCAAATGACAGAGAAATTCCACTTACCTATTTGTTTTTCCACTATATACTTCAGAAATCTTATTTTCTCCAAGAAAATTATGTTCAAATTCACCAGGAAAAACAGAAATATCATCCTTTAAAGATGCACTAAACTCTTCAGCAGTCTGTATATAAAAACTCTTATTTTTTACACCACCTAGAAGTGAATCTGTCTGCACCACAGGTGCTACATACTGTTCTTTGGAAACCTCTGTGTCTTCCATGAACTCTTTGGGGTCTTTGGATTTGCAGGCATTTAATTCTGAGATGCAGAAGGTGCCATATCCGCTGCTCACTGAACTGCTATCCACATTGCAGTCTGGTTGTGATGGGGATGATTCTTGCTGCATTTCAGGTTCTTTAGACTTCGGTAAACTGAGAACAGATTCATTTCTCTCACTGTTTTCATAAAAAAAACCCATTGGACTTTCTGAAGATATTTGTTTGCTTGAAGAACTATCATAAGGAGCCCAGGAAGCATTACTGGTCTGTAACTTCACTAAGTTTTTGATCTCCTCTTGTATACGCTGAAAATAAAAGGTTACAGATTTGGGTAAGAAAGTATAGGAAACATCACATTTTTGCAAATGTTATAAAAATGCTCTGTTTAAAAATAGCATTGAATGTTACTCAAAAACACAAACACTTGTACACCAATGTTCACTGCAGCACTGCTCGCAATAGCCAAAAGGTGGAAACAACCCAAGGGCCCATCAACAGATGAATGGATAACAAAATGTGACATGTACACATAATGGAATATTACTCAGCCATAAAGAGAAATGAAGCACTGATAAATGCTAGCACATGGACGGACCTTGAAAACGTGCTGGGTGAAATAAGTCAGATAAAAAATGACATATATTGTATGATCTACTTACAAAAAATATCTAGAACAGGCAAATGCACAGAGACCACAGTTTATTAAGTGGTTACTGGGGTTGGGTAAGAGGGGGCAATGGGGAATTATTGCTTACAGGGTACTGAGTTTCTGTTAAGGGTGATGGAATAATTTGGAAAGGGATACTGGTGATGGTTTCACAACATGGTGAATGTAATTAATGTCACTGAATTGTACACATAAAAATGGTTGAAACTGTGTGATGGATAAGGTTATGAGTCAACTTCACTGGGCCATGATTCACAGTGGTTTGGCAGTCATTTGATGTTGTGATCACTTCCATGATGAGACTTGATATAACGGGATCACCTCCATGATGGGATCTACTGTGAGTAGCCACTGAAAGGGAGTTTCCTTGAGCATGTGGCCCGCATCAAATACAAGAGGACATTCTGGTCAGGCTCATGGACTTTTGCTTGCTCTGGATCCTACAGCTGACCTGTGGATCATCTGACCCCCGGTTCTCGGGACTTGAGCAAGCAGCTTACCTGAAGTCTTGCCTGCCAATCTTGGGATTCCTTGATCTTCGCAGCCGGTGAGCAACAGCCCTGCTCTCTGACCTGCTGACCTTGAGTTCCCCAGCCCCTGCAGCTACGTGAATCAGGAGAAGCCTCTATGCTGACCCACAGACTTGGGACGTTCCAGCCTCCACAACTGCATGAGCCATTTCCTTGATATAAATCTCTCTATATATGTATTTACACGTTTTACTGGTTTTGCTTCTCTAGAGAACCTAGCCTAAGACACTTGGTACCGAGAGTGGTTCCAGAGAAATAAAATTGTAAGGATGAGTTTTCTAAATTGGTTCTCAAGTCTGGTTAGTCTTAAAGATGCTGATGACTCTGCTTCAAGTAGTAAAGAGGGCACTGTTAATCCATGGAAAGCGGTGGCAATACAAATACGTAAAATATCACCACCTACTGATCAGGGATTGGTGAAAGGCGAGGCTCTGGGTGACTGCACGTGTGATACATTTTACAATTTTGTCATAATGAGAAGTATAAGGAAGCTGGTTGGTTGGTCCTACTTTCGCTAGACAAACTGGTGAAAGAAATGAGCTAACGCCTTCAGAGTCAAAGCTGAAGCGCCACATGAACAACCTCAAAGTTTCCACTTGTGCTTTGAAAGAAAGCCTTATTTCTTCTACTAACAGTGCTGATACTGCCAAAAACAAAACCCAGAGTCTTATCGTAAGAGTGGCTGAATTACAACACCAACTCAATTGCCAACCTCGAGAGGTATCTGAAGTTAAAGTGAGGGCACTGATTGGGAAGAAATGGGATCTTGAAAGTTGGGATGGGGACCTCTTAACACCAAGAAACAAGAGCCAGGACAAAAGCGCATCCTTTGGAGCTGCGGTCCCTGCACTGAGAAGCTCCTTGACTGGGGAAGATTGGTGACAAGGACTTCCCCCAGAGCTGACAAGACAGAGAAAGCCTTCCCCTGGAGCTGGCGTCCTGAATTTGGACTTCAAGCCTCCTAAACTGTAAGAAAATAAATTTCTCTTTGTCAAAGCCATCTACTTGTGGTATTTCTGTTATAACAGCATGTCTTAGTCATCTAGTGCTGCTACAATAGGAATAGCACAAGTGGACGGCTTTGACAAACAGAAATTTATTTCCTCACAGTAAAGTAGGCTAAAAGTCCAAATTCAGGGTGTCAGCTCCAGGCGAAGGCTCTCTCTCTCTCTCTGTCGGCCTTCTCATCAGTGTTCCCCCCCGGACTAGGAGCTTCTCTGCGCAAGGACCTCAGGTCCAAAGGACGTGCTCTGCTCCTGGCACTGCTTTCTTGGTGGTATAAGCCCACCCCCAACCCACCCTGGTCACTTCTCCCTTTTATATCTCTAGAGATTGCCTCAGGACACAATCCAATCTTGTAGATTGAGTACTGCTCTACTAACACAACTGCTGCCCATTCTCCCTCATTAAAATCACAGAGACAGGATTTACAACATATAGGAAAATGACACAATATCGGGAATCATGGCCCAGCCAAACTGATACACACATTTTTGGGGGGACATAATTCAATCCATGACACAGCACTAGATAACCAAGACAAACAGCAAATGTTTTATTATATATATTTTACCACAAGAAAAAAATTATAAATATGAAAAAAAGAAAACACAAATTCTAGTAAAAATCAAACAAACCACAAGGTAATTAATTACATCATGTCCTTAAATGTTACTCTCAAGATAATATGTATGCTTTATCTTTAGTTTATAAACAAAACTAGTATAAGGTATTAATTGGTTTTTCTGCAAACCTTACAGATATTAAAAAATGGTAAAGCAAAAAGCTTAATGAAAAAATAACAACTTACTTGAATTTGGTTGTGGAATTGTTCCTGCTGGGCAACTATCTGCTCTTGGCATTGTTTTTCCACCAAACTGAATAGCTGTAACCACCTGGTCTATTAAATCATAAAATATTTTAGTTAAAAAAGAACTTTTTAAGGTAATGCTTCACAGAAAAATTCCTCCAATGAGTAAGTGCCTTTTTTATAAGTCTAATTAAACAAATGGAGCCCTGGTGGCACAGTGGTTAAGAGCTCAGCTGCTAACCAAAAGGTCAACAGTTCGAATCCACCAGCCGCTCCTTGGAAACCCTCTGGGGCAGTTCAACTCTGCCCTACATGGTTGCTATGAGTTGGAATCAACTTGATGTCCATGGGTTACAAGTTTATTAAACAAACAGTTATAAAAACATAGTTATTGCAAAAAATACAAGGACATAGAGTTGAACACCCCTATCTTACGTAGCCTGTGATTCTGAAAGTCTGGTAAATCTTATTTTTCAAATGGCATCTTTGTTGGATAGCATCTACTATCATTTCGGATTAAATAACAACTGGTGGTTGCTCTTAATATTTGTCTTATGTTCTTCTTCTTCCTTTCCTCATACCAGCTAATGATTTCTTCACATTGACACGTACCCAGAAGAAGAATCCCACATCCTAAAGCAAGAAACAGTTTGGTACCATGAAAATTTGGCCCCTAATTATTTGCCCTCTAACTAAAAAACTGCTTTTAAAGTCAGATATTACACCGTTTTAAAGCACTGCAGAGCTGAAAAAGGAATGAAAAAAATCACTCTGAACACCTGTGGGACTGGCCCTCAATTCCTTCATGGCCCACTTTCTGGTCCTGGTTCTCCCTGACTCCCAAGAGCAGTCTGCGTTCTGATGGTTATAACCAGACTACGCCAAAACACAGTAAGGAGGGAGCCTGCCTACATTCAATCTCCAGGCTGGGATACTCTCAGTAATAGATTGCACGTGATAATGTATAATAGCGATACACAGCGACCGTGAAAACCAGCTCTCAGGTTAGTCTTTTCAACGTCCACTTCTAAACACTGCTTCCAGGGACCTGCACGACCCACCTCATGCACACATTCCAGCTCCACCTCGTCCCTCTCTGCCCCTCTGGCCTCTTTGTGTTCCTTGAACATGCCGAAACTGTCCTCCATCTCAAAAGCTCTGTACTTGCAGTACCCCCAACCCCACTGGTAACAAGGCTAGCTTCCTCTCATCCTGCAATTTCAGCTTAACTGGCCCCTTCCCAAGCCCTCCTAACAGCTTCCCTCCTTCTCGTTCTCCTGGTTATTTCCCTCAGAGCAACCACCACAATCAGAAAGGCTCTCTCTCATGCGGCGTGTTAACTTGTCTGTCTCCCAGCCCTGCCCTCACTCCTCCTCCAGCACGCAGCACACACTGCAGAGGAGAGAACAGGCACTCAAACCTAAGCCTACATGAGTACAGTAAAATGCATATTTCAAGTTGTGCTTTTCTTAGTATTACAGACTAAAACACACCAGAGACCCTCCAGGTTCGTGCTGAAAGCCAGTTTTCAATTCATAACATCTGAACTATAACAGAATTAAGCGGACCTCTGTAGAACAGAACTAAGGTGAAGGAGGAAAAATCTCAGGATTGAAAAAAGAAGCTTTCAAAATGAAATACAGCTTTCCTGATAGGAAGTATTAATTCTAAATCAACTAATTTCAGGGCAAAGTAGGCTAGATCAAATTAAGTTCTTCATCTTTTCAACCTAGCTACAATATACCCACTGCTGTAGACTCCGACTCATAACGACCCTACAGGACAAAGCAGAACTGCTCCACAGGGTTTCCAAGGCTGTAATCTTTACAGAAGCAGACTGCCACATCTTTCTCCCGCAGAGCGGCTGGTTGGTTCTAACTGCCAACCTTTCAGTTAGCAGCCGAGTGCTTAACCACTGCGCCACCAAGGCTCCTCAGCTACAGTACAAAATACCTTATATCAATGAAAACAAGTTTAAGAATCAAGCAACACAGTTTTCTTACTAAGTCATACTACCACTTACACATTTTAGGAGTTATTTTTAATCTGATATACTATTCACATAAAACCAAATTATAATAATTATAGAATACCCAACCAAAAAATGGCTTCATGTTATATGAGAGACTTGATAATAACTACATCTTTATGTCATTTACTTATTTGAGAAGCAAATCAGTAGAGCTTACTTCCTACTCAGATTTTAGAATTAATTTTAATTTTAAAATTATTTAAAAACATTAACAGTTAATAACATTCATTTAGTTATTAAGGAGTATTATTTATTGCAAACCAAAATGGAATACACTACCTCCATTTTACATATTGTTGGAGGATATGAACATCTAATTGAAAGTTATCCCCTCCACACCAAAATCAAACCAAACCCACTGCTGTCGAGTCGATTCCAACTCACAGCGACCCTATAGGACAGAGCAGAACTGCCCCATAGGGTTTCCAAGGAGCGCCTGGTGGATTTCAACTGCCGACCTTTGGGTTACCAGTTCGAATCTATACTTTTTAAAAACTGGCCTGAATAGGAGTTCTATAGCCTAGCCTAGTAAAAATCCCTTGGGTCCTGGTTTGACCCCAAGCTCTGCACTAACAACCTGTGCAATCCCAAACAAATAAATTTAACTTCTTTGTGCCTCACTTTCCTAGTTTATAAAATGGGGGTAATAACACCTCATCATCAGCGACTGGGAGGACTCAATTTCAAGTTTAACTATGATACAGGTCAAGCAGAGGTCTCAATGGGGATGGAAATGCATTCTGGAAATTAGTGAAGTCATGATGGCACAAATAAGAGGGGGCACCACTGTCATTTAGTGGTCAGGGCCCAGAGATGCAAATCACAGGACAGCCCCCACAACGAAGAACTGTCCTGTGTCCATTTTATACTATAAAAACAATCTATGACTTGCAGTTTCATATAACAAATTGTCCAGGAATGCAACCACCAAGATCTCAGTTGGCTTCAGAACTTTATCAAACATTGGTCACCATGTCAGAAAACCATGTCACCCACGGCAGTGTTGCTCCTGGTACCTGATCACCAATATGACACACCTTTACCAGTCTGTCTGTAGCTGTGCGTGCATGCTGAGTCTACATACACATAAAGACCAGACTACTTCATTATGTCTCCAATGGAGATATGCCCAAGCATTTATATACTAAAATATTTCTTTTATTGTAAGTTTTATTCCTCCTTTATATCACAGTTACAAGACATATAGAGGACTTTGTATAGATTTGTTTAAGTGGGTACAGTTAGTCATCTGTGAATTTTATTTCAGGATAATAAAGAGTGATTTTATTTTGAAAGTTGTTATCAAAAAAAGGGGCACTGGGTCTAATAAAGGAGCCCTGGTGGTGCAGTGGTTAAAGAGACTGACTGCTAACCAAACAGCTGGTGGTTCGAAACCACCAGCGACTCCATGGGAGAAAGATGTGGCAGTCTGCTTCCACAGGGATTTAAAGCTTTGGAAACTCTATGGGGTCACTGTGAGTCAGAATTGACTCAGTGGCAGTGGGTTTTTTGTTTGGGTCTAATAAGGTTGAGTGCCACTGAAAAAAACTGCACACTACACTGCCTGGCAAACAGACACTCACTAAATGGTAGATACTGTGATAATAATTATTATCATCATATAACCTTTACTATTACAATCACAGGAGCCCTGGCGGCAGAGTGGTTAAGAGTTCAGCTGCTAACCAAAAGGGTTGGCAGTTGGAATCCACCAGCCACTCCTTGGAAACCCTATGAGGTAGTCTCCTCAGTTCCATAGGACTGCTATGAGTCAGAATTGACTCGAGGCCAATGGTGTTATTATAATTAGAAGTACTAAATAGGTAAAATGCTAAAGTAACTAGATGAAACAAATTAGTTAATGCTCTTTAAAAATTTCTGTCAAAGAAGTCAGACAAAAAAGGACATACATAATCGCATTTGTATGAAACATTTAGAACACGCAAATGCATAGAGACCAAAGACCAGAGTTCATCGGTGGGCACCAAGGGCTGGGGGAAGGAGGGAATGGAGAGTTACTGCTTAAAGGGTTCTGAGTTTCTGTTAAGGGTGATGAAAAATTTTCAGAAATGGACAGTGGTGACGGAAGCATAACATGGTGAATGTAATTAACGTCACTTATGTGTATACTTAAAAATGGCTAGAACGGCAAATTTTTTATTCATATTTTACCACAATAAAAATTTTTGAAGTTTCTCACAATCACAGAAATATTAGCAATAGCAAGTACTTAAGAATGTATTAAAGTATTTCTGTTAAAATGTTAAAAGACTGAACCTTACCCAATTAAATCAAATTATGTAAGCTTCCCAAGTTGAAGCAGTAATAAAACTTAAGAAATCCCGAAGAGAGGTCTTATAAAGAAATCCCAAAGAAATCAGATCATCTTCAGAGCTCTTAGTTGCTCAAATTGAGAAAGGTTTTGTTTTGTCTTAATAATGCAGACTTCCACTCCACTGCTATCAAGTCAATTCCAACTTATAGCAACCCTATAGGACAGAGTAGAACTGCCTCACAGGGTTTACAGAAGCAGACTGACACATCTTTCTCCCGCAGAGCAGCTGATGGGTTCAAACTGCTGACCTTTCAGTTAGCAGCCGAGCGCTTTAACCACTGCACCACCAGGGCTCCTTCATAACGTACACTGTTGTTATAGGTGCCATTGAGACAGTCCCGACTCACAGTAACCCTATGTACAACACAATGAAACACTGCCCGGACCCGCACCATCCTCACAATCATTGCTCTGTTTAAGCCCATTGTTGCAGCCACTGTGTCAATTCACCTTGTAGAGGGTCTTACACTTTTTCGCTGACCGTCTACTTTACCAAGCATGATGTCCTTCTTCAGGGACTGATCCTACCTGAAAACATGTCCAAAGTACGTGAGACGATGTCTCGCCATCCTCACTTCTAAGGAGTACTCTGGCTGTACTTCTTCCAAGACAGACTTGTTTGTCCTTCTAGCAGTACACAGTATATACAACATTCTCCCTCCGCACCACAATTCAAAGGCGTCAATCCCTCTCCGGTCTTCCTTATTCACTGCCCAGCTTTCA